AATATTATGAAACATTATGAAGCATTCACTCACTAAATAAACAAAAAGAAAAGCTTGGTGTTGTACAACTATTAGACATTCAGAAAAATATGGACTGGAAATTCCCAAACAATTATCCAATACCATAACTTGAATAAAATAATTAATTAGATGTAATATTTGGCCTAATAGTTTGTTGTTGTATAATACTACTTTACCAATTGGGAATTGATTGTCAGTATATATACTTGAAAAAAAAAAATTTACATTTCATAATCTCTAACAAATGATCAATGTCTTGTTTTTCTTGTCTTTTAATATTGGTTAAGTTCTATAGGTCAGGTTGTACTGCAGTCATTGGTTCGGGTGATTTGACATTGTATGCATTACATTGATAGGTTAGATGGTTGGATGTAGTAGACAGGAAATCTTGTTCAACCTAGACTCCTCGCTAGTCGATATTTGTCATTAAGGTTTATCTTCAGCCCTGAGAAAATTTTTGGTTGGTGTGAAGTTTAACTAGTCATCGCTCAGTTTCACAATCTGATACAATTATCTATATGGGACTTGGTTGATCTCCTGTAGGACTAAGATATTTGTATTGATTAATTACTGAGTGTCATATCTGTCTAAGGTACCGTTGTATATAGTGTTTATAAATATATTGTACCATTTACTAATCGATCTTAGGGTAATATCACTTGATGTACTAATTAAATGAAGTGTTTTTTTCAAGAAATTAATCCTCTCATACTGTTATAATTAATCACTTCCCCGCTAATCGTAGGATAAATTGACTAGACAAAAATCTAGTTGAATACCTGAAAATGTTTTTTACACATTTTCAATATTTCATCACCATCATGTCATTTGTTGTTCAGATACAATACAATTAATCAAAGTTATACAATTAAAGATGAATACGTTGACTGCTTTATCTCACTAAAGAATTAAGTTAAATTTTTACACTCTGATAGTCATCACAACTGTATATTGAATAAGAAAGATATTAATCTCAACAATAGTAGTAATCTACCACTGTACTGAATATTATATACATTGTATACAAATGAAATAGTGAGTTATTTTGTCAGTTTGATCATTTTCTTATAAGTCTAGATGTACTTTTCATGAGAATAAGACATTTTTAAAAAATAATCACTGTAACTTAACACAAATTATGATTATCCTCTTACAATTTGAGAATCTTCAACCTCTCTTAAAAAGTGAACGGTTAAGTCACAGATTTAATATCGGTTGAATCGTGAATTGGCTTTAGTTGAACAACTATTAAGAACTAAGGAGCCCTGGACATTTATTTCGTCCTAATATGAGACTAATCAGCAGTTGGATATTCACGATCCATACAAGGAGTCGAACTTCGGTCTTTCAGGTTTCACGACGAATGCCTAATCATTTAGACTATTGACTTGGCATCCATTAGTTTACATTTGCAACTTCAGTTGGTTTGCGATATTGCATAGCCATATTTTACTACCTGTTGCCTGTTCAGTTATTCCTGGTTTTCAGTAGCTGTTTGGGGTCAGTTTGTTACTTAAATTATAAAATTCAACGAATTTCACCAAGTCCTTACGTTACTAAAGTACAGTAGTTAATGAATGGTTGTCGTAACATCAAATGATTGAATTACCATTTTAAAAAATTTCCCCTTAGATTGAACATGTGAATACCTACCGGTACGTAAACACGACTAATTCTCGCTTTATAAACAACAATAAATGTTGAGAAGTAATTTGATCTCTAAGAATTGGTATCTCTGTTGGACTCTTACGAAACATTCATAAAACAACTATCATTCTTCAAACATATCTCATAAATTTCTAATCATTCAATTTAACATTATTATAAATAGATTAGCTTATAATACTTATATTTCCAAGTGAATTATGAACTTATAATTAACATCATTACTTATTATTACAAGTATTAGTAGTAGTAGAAGGTTAATCATTTCCGGTAGATAAATATATAAAAAAAACTATTCAAGCTTTTTTCCGGTATATATTTTTTTCGTGATAGTAATACTACTACTACTACTACTACTACTACTACTACTAATAATAATAATAATAATAATAATAATAATAATAAAACTAATGAGAAAAATATTCATTATTATTAGTAGTAGTAGTAGCAGTATCAATATTAACTCATCAATCTATCTTCCTATTCATATTTCCTTCTATCGAGTTTTTATTATTATTATTTCTATTTTACAAAGGTCAACATTCATTGTTTAACATTTGTGTATACTTATGTAAGTAGATATGTTGACATACATATTATTTAACATTGAACAATTTATTGTTTTAATAAAGTAACATAATTTCATTTTTTAAAAAAAGAATTCGAATAGAATATTGTCTCTTTTTATTTGATTTATAAATAAAATTTCTAATATTGTTATTGAATATTCTTTACTTTATGTTATGATATCATCCTTATTATTATTATTATTATTATTATTATTATTACTACTACTACTGTTATCATTAATAATAACAGTAGTATGTTTATAAATACAAGAAATATGTATATCTGTAATATCATTTCCTTTCAATTTCATTGAACATTAAAATATAATTCGCTTTGAACACAAAATTATATCAAAAAGAATTTTTTTCCTTGATGAAAAAAATTGTAAAAAATATTTTTTAAATTTTTTTAAATTTTAAGTAATGTTGTAACGAATTTTTTATTGTTCCTGGAAACACGTTCAAACACACACACGCACAATATTTTAATACATTTATCTAATCAGTTTTTTGTTTTTGTTTTAGGTATCAACTTATATATGGAATCCTTTTTTTTCTGTAGCAAATTTGAATGGCGGTATTAATTTTTATAATTACAATCAGTAAATAGATTGACTATAATCAGATATAGGGGAGATATCTATGTAAAAATTGTAGATAAGGGACTATGCTAATAGTATGTAATCAGGATAAGTACAATTTAATGATTCATTGAAAGGTAGGCCTGACACTAGCAGCCAAAATAGCTTTACTTACAAAAGTTTGTATTTGAAATTTCTTTAGTTAAAATGTTCATAGTTAGACTTGCAATATGCTGTCATTGCATGATCCTAGTTTTGATAGTAATCAAAACTAGTATGTATTTGGTGTAGTGGCTGTAAGGCTTTCCAACCGTATTTGTGGTAAATATATGCGGATGGATTGATGAATTTGTTTTACTGACCTTTTTGCATACTTCCAGATGTCCTAAAATGGTGGTCTAGTGCGAATGGGATTTTAACTTTGGAAAAATTTGAATATTCAAAGTAGATCTTTGCCTCTGGAAGTTCTTGCATGGAATAATCAAATAGAACTTCGGATCTGTTTTGTTATTCTTCTGTAAAGAAACAATTATTAAATGGGATAGACATGAGAATGTTTTAGAGGCAAAATTGCATGATCGCCGCTACACAAATTACAATGAAAACACTTATCAGTATTAGTTCTCATCGCCGAGAGCGAAAGTTAGTGTTTATATGATAGTCAGATACTATCTTAATTGCGCTTGTGGCTCTTCTAGAGTTACTCACGGTCTCAAGCCAGGATTAAAAATGAGGGCAGGAGATGGAGTCGGCAACCCCGTCCCGTCGAAAAAAAAACTTGTTAGAAACACCAACTAGATTAAACAAATTAAGCCATTTAAGAAAGAAGAATGATGCTTCTTGGTGAAAGCCGAGATTCTTCGGAAGTCACGAAACCGATGCCCCTTCTAACAAACGGAGCAACAATTCTCATGAGTACATGGAACGTCCGGACAATGTGGAAGATTGGGAGAACCACTCAAATAGTCACAAATGATGGAAACTGATAATAGGCGTTGCTTTAACAACTAACATAGATGGATATTCAAGGAAAACCTCTAAGACTTTTACTCTTGCAAAGTATCGCAGAAAATTGATATCTTGAAGGATTAGCAGAATAATAATATGAAAAGTGGATAATAGTGATTAATTCGAAGTGACGAATCGTCGTAAATCAGGAAGAAAACATGCTATTTTGAGACCTCTTAAAAATATCATCATCACCACGACGTTGGAATTTTGTCAAGAATTTACTAAATTTGAACTATTGCATTTCATTTAAATACTTCAAGGTTGAAGTGTTCAAAGTAGGATTAAGAAATTCAGGCATCGATCCTTAAGGTAACCATCGGTTCTATACTAATCAGATTTTTTAAAACGGAACACAATAAATGTTCACCATATTCTAAATTTCAATGTCATTTCATATAATGTCACTTAATGTTTCATAATGAATTAATCAATGGAATCCAATTGATCAAAAACATTTATTTATTTCACCCGATCGCACAATCAGGTGACTATCAGGACTCAGTAGCTAAGTGGATAACGTGATAACGTTTAAAGCGAACGGTACTGAGCTCTAGTCTCGGAATGAAAATCAACTCTGGGATGCAGATACATTCAGTTGACGAGTCCCAAGTGCGACGAAATGGATTTCATTGCTAGCCACTATTCATCTTTGCTTATACTACTTGTGAATTAAGGCAATATCGAGTTAGACCATACAGGATATACATATGCCAATATGAGACTAATCAATTGTATTCCTAAATAACAATAGGAAGATACAAGTAAAACAACATCAAATGTTTAGGTGTTATGGAGATTGTCAAGTTTTTTATTGAGATCATGAGTTAACTAAAGCTAGACCACCATGGAAAACCTGGAAGCACTGGACGGTCGTTTCGTCCCAAAATGGGATTCCTCAACAGTGGGCACCCACGATCCTTCATCCCGCGAGATTCGAACACAGGACCTATCAGTCTCACGATAGGCATTTAACCAACTAAACCACTGAGCCAGCATCCAATGGTGTTAATATCTAACCTCAACCAATCCACGAAATTCCGCAACCATCTTTCATTATACTGAAGTAGACACCTGTTTCTACCCGACGTGGATTATCTTGACTTCTCACCAGAACTCCAAGAATTTTCTCACGAAGCTAGTCACTAATGAGCATATGGTAATTATCAGTTTAGGTGTTGTGAAGATTATTAAGTTTTTGATTGAAATATATTATGTATTATATTATATTGAAAATTTTTACAGGAAAAATATCAACCTCAATTATATGTAACAAGTATTTTGAATCAGACTATTATTAGAAAATTAATTCCATCATCCAATGCATCTATTGAAACTACTATGAATACATCAGAATTACAAAATGTTAAATGTTCAATTAATAATAATACATCATTGATACCTGATTATAAATTAACCCTATCAAATGATTGGTCATATTTTTTAAAAATCAATCTTGAAAATTATATTGATAAAGCATATTTATTTAATATAACTTTAATACCACAATTTAAATTACATGGTAACATAAAATCAATAAAACATTTACATAATTGTTATGAACCATATTCTATAAATCAATTACAATTAATTGGTCAATATTATAATTTAAATTATATTGATAATAATAAATTAAATGTTAATTATATAAAAGAATATTCTATCAGAAATATACCTAATCAAAAAGATTGTGAAAAATTATGTTGGGCAATTCGACAACCATATTTATATAAAAATGGTGGATTATGGTTATGGAATAAAAAGTAAGTTCAAAATTATGAATAGTAAATTTTTTATTCTTAATTAATTTTAGTTAGACATTTATTAAAAATGTGGAAATAATAGATGACTGTTTCATTCTAGTATGAGACACCCCAGTGATAAGTATACACAACCTCATCGAATGAAATGGTACCTGAGACCTTTAATCTCACTTGTGCTTTCAGGTTCTCACTGGTGGTTTAGTGATTTAATCTAGGAAAAATTCTACAATTTTCATAAATCCTCCCTATTTCAATAAAAATTCAATGTTCCTTGGGACTAGAATATTACTTGATAGATAATTGAAAACAAGTAAATCCCCTTAAGCTAATTAGTGTTCCAATATCAAATGAAATACTATAATTGTGGTGAAATTTCATTGAATAGTAAGTTCATTCAGAACTATTAAGTGTTATTTTTCTTGAGTAATTTTGAAGTACAATTCTCATCTTTAAAAATGCATATTATATACTAACTCAAAACTTTAGTCTGGTGCTTCCTGTAATTATCACAAATCACCTATTATTAAACAAAACATAATGGATCCAATTACTGATCAATTACACTAGTGCCTACATTACAACTTGATCAATAGAATTCGATCAACAATGAGGGACTAGACAAATGACATTGCTTTCTAGTTAGAAGTTAATTAGTGTAAGAATATCAATCCTATTGGAGATGTGTCACGAGCCGAATACTTCAGTCTTAGCGTCTCTGAATGTATTACTGGATATCACAAGTTCGAGTCCCACAAATAATGTTAGTTATCTAATGACTGCTTTCATCAGCAGTCAAAGCAGTTGGCCGGACACTATTAGCAACAGCGTACTGTGGGAGAGAACAAACCAGATCCCAGCGGAGGAAGAAATCAGGAAGAAGCGCTGGAAGTGGATAGGACACACATTGAGGAAAGCACCCAACTGCGTCACAAGACAAGCCCTCACATGGAACCCTCAAGGCCAAAGGAAAAGAGGAAGACCAAAGAACACATTACGCCGAGAAAAGGAAATAGACATGAAAAAGATGACCAAGAATTGGATGGAATTAGAAAAGGAGACCCAGGACAAAGTGGGTTGGAGAATACTGATCGGCGGCTTATGCTGCATTGGGAGTAACAGGCGTAAGTAAGTAAGTAATCTAATGACTGCAGATATACCTCTCAGATGAATAATGACTACCATGAAACCCCGATCAACATTATTCTCTTCTGATTACTTCCAGCCACTTAAGGGTTAAAGAATGAGTTGGAAAATTTAAAATAACTAAAAAAAAGTCACACGAGAGGTTTTAAATAGGTTTTATTTTACGAGCTAGATTCAGTAACCGTAAACCCAACCTTTCTCCATTTTCCGGATTTAGGACAGTCAGTAACCCTGGAAGGCTTCATGAGCAGCCTTACAATATGTTTTTTTGTGAAGAAATTAGATATTCTTGTGATATTTCATTCAATCAATCATTAACTTACAAATATTCATTTAGGCTATAAATTATTTAATACTTTTATGTAAATAAGTCAAAATTCAAGTTGATAGATGTTCTTAGATAAACAATTCTAAATCGATCATTACAAATATATATTTTTTTGCTATAAAATGGAATTGATGATTAGATTTGGAAAAATGATTCTTGTGTCATTATTTGAATTCATAGTCTAGCAGAATCGACTATTGACTAAGTCCTAAAATCACTTTAATCGTTGAAAATTTTAATTCGGAAAATTCTAAACTATAATCTACAATTACTGGTATACGGGATTTGTGGAGGCTATTGGATGTTAATGATATCATGAATTGACCTATCATCTAAATTTGTATGAATTATACATTGTGGAACTCTTCGTCATTTGTGAATGTCAAATAGTTGAGATCCTAAGTCCATTGAAGCTAGACCACCATGGAAAACCTGAAAGCACGGCCGTTTCGTCCTATTGTGGGGCTCCTCGACAGTAAGCATCCACGATCCCACCTCACGAGATTCCAACTGAGGACCTATCTGTGCTGCGCGCGAATGCTTAGCCTCTAGACCACCGAACCGGCATCCAATGGTGTTAATTTCTAACCTCAACTCATCCACGAAATTGAGCAACACATTCACCACTGTCTTCAGTGAGTTACTATCTTACAACAAATACACAAAACCCCTTCTGATACAAATATCAAATAGTTGATAATTGAAATTATCATGAATAAGTTATTTGATGTGCAACTTTTTCCTAAAAATTTAACGTACACTAAATATTATCACTAATTACGAATGATTGACCATTTGATTGTGAACAATTTTTTGTTTGTCTGGTCGGTAGTGCTAAATAAATTCTGCTTATCAACAAGTTGCTGTCCGACGACTAATCTAAGTGGATCGACATCGTGTGTGATGAATCTTGATAATAGGTGGTTATAGATATTCAGTAGGAAAATTCACTCCACCAAGAGTTTGTGCTAATTAACACTTGCCAGAGAACTTTATCTGCAATAATGAAGGGACTGATACTCTTACAGAACGTTAGTCCGAATTCGGACAACTTAATGTTAACGTTTCAAACAGTGAAGTCGGATCACACAGCATCAGGTCAGTCGGGTAGCATCATTTCTCTTAAGATTACAAGTACGCCTTGTTGAAAAGTGTCAGGTAGCAAGAAACCCAGTTCGAGGTTTACTTAGTGACTGATTCTAACCGCCTATTATTAAAACATATTACACTAGGTCATCAAGTCATTTAAACTAATGCCAATAATGTAACATGTTGATTTATAGAATTCGATTAGTATTAGGGGACTAGACCAACCTGACATTCGTCACCATCCAGTAATCAGTCAGTTATTCAAATACACCTAAATAATTGGTACTTTTATTTTACAACACATAGATCCTACAACTAGTTTGCAAAAATTGAGCATAATGTTTCCTCGACATTATGGTTTTGTAAATATAGCAGTTCAGCAATTTCTCTTATTTCCTTTACTAACGACTAGATAAACAACATAATCGTCATAAATCAGTGATCAATCATTAGGTTCGAGTATACATGTGCTGAATAATTAACATATATCTAAAGTTAGTAAACACTCTAAAATTACATACAAACGTACATGTAAACATTCACAAAAAATACTAATACATATCATTATACATTATTTAATATTATAAGAAGACGAAGATTGTCAGAAATATGTTTTTAAACTTAAGGTTAACAAGTTCATCTAACCTTTTAATAGTATGTGCAGGGAGTCTTGTTTTAAGAAATTTAAAGCAATTGGCCCCTTTGATAAATTTCGATAATGTAGTTCTGATAATCTTCATCTTCTTATTACACTATCGAAATTTATCAAATGAACTATTTGCTTTATGCATTATTTAATAAGTAGTCAAATTATATATTTTTCAGTTAATTTTGAAATTGTTTATTCCTGTGAAATCTGACACATACCATTTAGTCATACATAACATTACTTCTGTTATGGTTATTATTTTGAAGTAATTATCACAACAGTCGCTTTCTTAAAAAATACAATCCAAATAGAATTATTCTATAATAAGGACTAGACAAGCATGACATTGATCACCACTCAGTGATCAATCAATTGTGATTACATCTCAGTCCTACAGGAGGTTGGTCACGGCTCGGATAGCTCAGTGGTAACTTCTCTGACTGTGAAGCTGGGTGACACGAGATCGAATCCGCCAGAGAGCACCAGTTCCCTCAAGATTACAGGTACATCTTGCTGACGAGTGCCAAGTAGCACGACACCCGGGTCCAGGGTATCCTGTTGACTACCTCCAACCACCATCTAAATCTCAATACATAGTGCCCGCAGTGTCGAGTCACGCAGACTGGTGGCCGGATTGCAACATGATCGATAGCATTCGATCTGCACTAATAACGACTAGACAAGCATGACATTGATTACCACCCGGTGATCAATCAATTATGATATCCTATAACTTCTTTATGTAATGAGTATTCACATATGTGTTATGTGTAAGTGTGGTGGTCTATGCATAACTTATGTAACTTAAAACTCATTAGTTTCTGACAAATTATAATCGATACACACAAACATTAATTAATCATATGTAGTTAGACACATACTTATGCACTCAAATACCCATGTATACGTTTACATGAATACACATATATAGATGTACATATTTCTATAATAACCAAAATATGGTACATGCAATTGAACACTGAAACTGGGATTAACTAGGTTTTTTTACGATTAAGAGAATTAATTTTGTTTATTTGAACATGAATTATTATTGAACATGACTTTTATTTATATTGAAAATAATAACAATGGTACTTTGTTTAGTTATTCAAAGGGTTAATTGTATCACACCATTACTACTAACATTATGTTAGTGATAGACTTACTAATCCTATGTTAGTTACATTAATTGTTTTATTATAAAAAACATTATTATGATAAGTATTATAATTAAACAAGTAAACTCCCACCTAATTATTCTCATAAACCTACTGGTTCAGGCAATATTAAATATAAATCCATAATTATTCACTATTCGAATTATATCATTAATCCTTTCTCTTTCCATCATGTCCGCTTCCCTAACCTTTATATCATAGTCAAGTAAATTAGTGTTACCTTCCATCAGATTACCATAATAATAATAATAATAATAATAATAATAATAATAATAATAATAATAATGAGGATATTAGAAACATTTATGATAAATATAAATAAATGTTTTGTGTAGAATGAAAAGAAAAGAGATTTTTCCCCCCTTAAAAACAAAACAATTAACTAGATTAATCAAAAGGTATTAAATAAAATGTTTTTTTAATAAATAGAATTAAACAATAATACTGTTAATATTGATGATAAACAAACACTCGTTCATTATTATTATTATTTTCTCTTTTGTAAACAAAGTTTTAAAATTCTATGTTTTAGTAATCATAAATATGGGATGATAATGGCAGTATTTACTGAATGGGATATTGAGATTATTCATTAAATTCAATAATAAATATAGTTTATAGGAAAATTTCGATGAACAAAAATGGAGATTTGTACAGTCAAAAATATTATTATTTTTTATTATTATGTAATTTGAGAAGAAGCATGAGCGAGAGGGAGATCATAGTTACTTTTTTATTATTGACAAAACAGAGTTAAAATTTTCTGATAATATTACTTTTTACTTAATAGATAATTTATGAGTGTATTTTGTTGTATGTGTCTATATGTGTTCATACTATAGAAAATAAGAGAGAAGAGAGATAAAGAGTAAGAGATAGAAAGTAATTACAAAAGTGTGTAATTTAAAGTAAATAAAAAGACTAATCTACATTTATATAGAATGAAAGGGAGTCTATGATGATTCGAATAATGCTTCATTCATTCATTTGTTTTGTTTGTTTGTTTATACAAACAATACACATAAACACACATTCATCGTTGAGAGCAAATATATCACTTTAACGACAACAAATTAATATAATACATTAGAATTATGCCTGAGAGAATGCATAATAAATAGATCATACTTGAAATATCAACTGTTTTTTTTCTCTCATTTATATGATATAAAAGTTAATGAGTTTCGATCATAATTAAACATAATTATACTGCATAACAATAATAATAATAGTAATAATTAATATGATTAAAATATCTCAATTTCCCTTACTCCACCTCAAACATCATCATTTATACGTATTTAAATAAAAACACATGCATTTAGTTAGTAATTCTGTCAGAAAATGATTTCTTTCCTCTTTTAGAAAGCAGCACTAATAATAATAATAATCATTAATAATAATAATAATACTAATACAATGATAGTTACAAACATCCCCTCTCCATTCTATCTAAATAAAGTATACTCTTTCATTCTCTGTCATTTTTTAGCTTAATCAAATAAAATATTCGGAAATTATAAATTTCATATTAATTTGAATTCGTTTTTTATTTTTATTTTTTTATAAAACAAACAAACAAACAAACAACAATGTACAAACTAACTAACAAGGTAATAATCATAATAACATAGAGAATTATTTCAATAATAATATACACTAAATGAATAGATGAAGTATTTCGTGAATTATTTTCACTTTAATCGAATCTCCAAAAAAAAAATAATTTTTTTTTGTTTTTTCCCCTTCTTAATTATATATGAATTTTTAACATTTTCTCTAATAAGAATAGAGAAAATAATAAATTTCATTTATTCACTCACTCACTCACCCCCCCACTCTTTCTCTTTTTATTTATTTATTTTTTATTATTATTATTAATTTTAGGAAAATAGGAAATTTGAAATTGAACACGCATTTAGTTTTAATTGCAATTTTTATATGTATCTAAGTGTGTTTGTGCGTATATGTGTGTCTGTGTATCTGTGTCTATATTCGTCTGTTACTATGTATGTATGTATGTGATTATAGGATTGGCAAAAAATTAGTTTGGATAATTATTATTATATTTATGATTCTTTGTGTTAATGACGTTTTTAAATGAAAAATTATTAAATTATTTGCAAATGATTCAATATATCCCCCTTTTTTTGTTGTTGAAAATTTGATATTTAATTATAAATTTGAAAAAAGGGATAATTTTAATTTATAGAATATACAAATAGTAATAATTATTATATTAACAATAATAATAATAATAGTTCTCTTATATTCATTTATCTATATTATAAATGTTAATATGAATAGATTATTCAATATTAGTTATTCTATTGTAGTAATCATAGAATTTATTACACAATGATCAAATTATTTTAGAATGTAACTTGGCATTCTTCAATAATTCTGTGACTAGTACTTGTGTGTGGTCATACATCTATACTAACTGACACTCATATTGAACATATATGGAATGTCACAGATTGAAATCATGAGTCAATTGAAGCTAGACCACCGTGGAAAACCTAGGAGCACTAGACGGCCGTTTCGTTCTAGTATGGGGCTCCTCAGCAGTGCAATTTCGTGGATTGGTTGAGGTTAGATATTAACACTATTGGATGCCGGCTCAGTGGTCTAGTTGTTTAAGTGCCTGGCGCGAGACTGATAGGTCCTGGGTTCGGATCTTGCAAGGCGGGATCGTGGATGTGCACTGCTGAGGAGTCCCACAATAGGAAGAAACGGCCGTCCAGTGCTTCCAGGTTTTCCGTGGCAGTCAAGCTTCTATTGACTCATGATTCCAATTTGTGAAATTTCTAAAAATCTCTACAAACCCCTTCTGATACATGGAATGAATGAATGGAAGATTGTGATGACAACTTTCCTACAAAAAAGCGGTTGTTGTTGTTATATCTACAGTTTGTAATGATCAATAATTCATATGCATTTTAATATGATGTATATATTATGAGATTCTATCAGAAGTTTACTTTCCAAACAGATTACATGGTTCTTTGTAATTTTAATCAGTAACGCAATTAAACTGTAATTAAACAAGTATGATGATAAAAAGAAAGTGTACTAATATTTTGAGAGTCCTCAAAAGTCAGAATATATGATTCATACAAAGAATTAGGACATGAACTTTTAGGTTCACATCCATCACCTGACCTTTAAATAAGTTCATTGTAATTAAATGACCTGGATTTTTAAATTCAATGACACTTCAAACTATACTGGTTTAACCAGTATAGAAAGACTAATCGATAACATGCGATTAAACAACTTAGGTGAGATGATAAATGAATATTATATATTAGTATGAAGAGTTTGTAGAAATTGTTGAATTTCATAGTCGACATCATGAAATGATCTTATTTAGGTAACCATTAAAAATAAGGAAGTATTAGAAAGACAGACGTTTCATCTTAGAACAAGACTTCATAACAATATATATCAATGACACTATTGACAATTGAACATTGGGCCTTCAATTTTCGCGACGAGCGTTTAACCTTTAAGTTAATTAGTCAACATCAAGTGATTTATATTTCTAACTTTAGTTGGCTTGTGGTATACCTCAGCCATCTTCCAGGGTTATGATTTACTAAATGTTTTATATACGAATATGATTGAACGTCACTAGAGCTCAGGTCTTAGTCTCAATCCCCGGTGTGATCGTAACGGTGAACTACTGAGTAATCTCATGGAGTTTTCCTAAAAAATAACTTTCTCTCAGGTACTTCTTGGTTTAAACAGTTGAGTGATTTAGATCAGTTCGTTGATGTAGACCGTAAAAGATTGAATTATCGTTCAACATTTAGGAACTTTTAGTGTTTTTTCTTCACAGAAATTAAAATCTGATTAAATCTGCTTTACAAAAAGTCAAAATACATTGAGCTGATGAACAAAATAAAACTGAAAATATTTTTCATATGAAACCCATTATCCATTGTTATGTTTTCAACAGTATTATTAATGAAAATTGACAGAAGAGTAGTACTTTGGATGATTATTGCTTGTATAACTTATGTAATTATGCAAATAAAATAAGTGTGACATTTTTAAAAGATGGGAGTAACGAATTTACATTCAACTGACTATAGTTTTGTAATTGATAAAATAATATAATATCAGTTATATTGGCTAAAGAACAAGACAATACTAAACAAGTACTTCATTATTACCTCATACTACTGAAAACCACTATTTACAATCAAAATATCGTCCACAAACATTTATTAGCAATTCAAGTTGAATCCTAGGAGGGTTATGGTAGATATCTGAGAGAAATGAAAAAAAGTTTCTACGTTTCATTGTATGAAGAAAAAAATTGCTATTTATAAAACTTGAATACCCTTAATGAAAATTGTCTTTATTTTTCTTATCCAAGGTATAGAATACTTTACGCTGATTGCAATCAAACTTTAATGGCCATCGAACAAAGTGACGTAAATGAAATCAATTTGAAAACTTTCACAGTAACGCGCCTACAAAGACCAAGTGAAGATTATTTGAGATCTGAAGAAGGATTACATTTTGTTATGTTAATTGGGTTTCATAGACAGGATCGAGAACAAGCCAAATGTAATGCTGCCATAATGGGTATGATGGATTTATTAAGGAAAAAATTGACACCATATAGCATGTAGCAACTTGTTTTTTCACCTAAAAGGTTTAACTACTACTTCATTTATTCAGTAGTATGCTTTCGTTACAAGAAATGTAAGTTGAAGTAATTAGCCTAATATCCGATCGATATAATAAACGAGCTAATGATGTAATAAGGAAGTGAAATGTGTGATTGAGAAGTAATTTTTTCTAGTTCAGAACCAAAACATCTGTTTTATATCTTGATTTATCTTCAGCATTTATTTAAGACAATTTATCTAGTTGGTTTTTTTATTAAGGTTCTTTGTTATGGGACTGAACTACTAACGCCATGCCCAAACTTCTTCACTTAATTGGGTTTTGGACCGATAGTAACCATAGAACGGCCGAAGGCGGAGTTACTTAAGAACTACAAAAAGCAAATCCAATTTGGCATCAAAATATTAGTCAAGTAGAAAGATATATTACTGTTGTAAAGAAACTGATAAGTTTTGTATGATAGTTAAATGCACTCAGACTTTACAAACAGCATTTAGATGTTTCCAAGAATACACTGTATTCTTGAAAATTTACAGCGAGACTAACCTCGAATCAGTTATACTGGTGAGATGAATATATGCTACTCTGAGCTATAACATGAGGTAATAGACTTCATTGGAATATTACGAATATATTCATTGTTAAAACATTTAATGTTTATGTGATTCTGAGATGTGACCGATCCTATTGTAACCTTCATTGCTCTCTATAAGATCACAAACCGAGGCATACTGTTATTCAAGAGACAAGTCCTCATACAAAAACGTTCTACTAAAGATCAAGTGTTAGATTCATCATGTTAGTTAATGACTAGAAGAGATTAATATGCTATTCATTAACTAAGAATTTATAAATTCATGTATATCACTGATTTACGAAAAAAATTACTTAAACTTCAAAAAAGGACTGAATAGACCATTACATGTGGAATGTTCAATCATGGGTTATCACTTCAAATGGTAAAATAATTACATGATACAGCAAATTTAAGATATTCAATTTATAAACTTGTGGTTTAAATAATACTGGTTTACGCACGAACATGTAACATTCAACCATATCAGATGTGTGATAACTATTATCAGTAGCTATGACTGACAGTTGCAAAAAATATGTAGAATTAATGGAAGTGAGAAATATAAACAATCGATTATCGACTCGATAGTGTAGAATTTTAACTCTTCTCATAACTTTTGCAAATCACAGATTTGGTTCCTAATGGATGAGCATTCACAGAAGAGTTGTTTAATGTTTTCTGGTAGTTAATAGTGATATCACTCAAATTAGACTGTAATATAAGTTATGAAATCCAACAATTTCCATAACATTGATAAATTTGATCCTAGATTTAATCACAAATTTTCTTTATGAATGTATTATTTAAAGTGATAATAATCATAGGTAATTCTATGTGAATCTGTATTAAAAGAATGGCCATAATCAATCAAACTTTAGTTTCTAAAATAGATAGATTGTGGCTAACAGTAGAATCCACAAAATCCGAACTTTGTAGTCATAAATAATAAGGTCAAAACTAACAACCTACTAGCAACCTTTAACAGTACACCAAGCAATCATTTCCATAAAGGAAGAAAATTGCGACACATCCTTTCCATACGTCTTGTCAACGAAAGCCGACGCGACAACAAAAGGAAATGTTCATTGTAAGCCGGCTACATAAACACAACGTACACATTTTTCAGCTTGTTTCTCATTACAATATGTGTGAAATCTAGTCAAATGTTTGAATGAAACAGTTAAAATAACATGCTCTGATGATATCCTTAAAGAAGAATCAAAACTTATCCATGATTTACCAAACAAGGATACACATATTCATCAAAGTTCCTGACAAAACAGAGACTGAAGATGAAGTAAAATCACCGACAGCACCAAACATACCTTTATTCCCGAAGTTAGTTTAAACTTGATATAGTAGGTGGAATAATTATCTGACATACAAGAAAAACCACAGAGCATTCATTCGATGTAACAAGATCATCCGTTTCCTCTTCCAGTCAACTGATATTGTGTTTACGGAATAAGAATAAAATAACTAGTTTAACAGACTCCACCTCATATTAACAAATTCAGCAGCTGCTATGGGGCCAGGTATATTGTATGTATAACCAGACGAATACATAATCGTATTTCTGGAAATCACCGTTTGTGGTTGACCAAATGACTAAAAAAACCAACCGGAAGTTCTATTCTAAAACACTGTTTGATATTTGGTCACGATACGAGTATAAATTCAGCCGTTGAAGTTACCTGCGGACCCCTTTCAAAATTACCCCACACACACCGCAGAAGTCATCGGAATACAAATCAATAAATCTAGCCTTTGTACGGCCTCTTGATTTACCATGACCTATACGCTCGCTACTAAACTTCTCCAGACCCTTTAGTTTTTTTCTAATTCTTTTCTTACATGATCTGATAATCCAATTTTCTTCTCACCTATCCCATTAATTACTTATTATTAATTCTATTAGTAACACCAAGCATTTATATTCAACTATTTAATTTCAAGTTTACTCAGTTCCTAGTTTTACTGTTATGTAAATAGTCGTGATAATTAACCGACTATGTAATTTCACTTTAGTAATCTGTTGTGTACCTTACCGATTACTAATAATATACGTAGCTAAACTGATCCATCTCCATTCAATCGGTATTAATTTTGTACCACTTGGTTGCAAAACTAATTAAAGAGGGACATTTCTGCACCCAAATCACATTTTAAATATCGGTGTCAATTATTAATACACACTATTAAACTGCAGTATTCCCGAAGTTATTAAATACACTAGAGGTAAATTCTCACATTAGCACGAGTTAAATTGAAAAGATAGGGAGGCGAAATAATATCGACAGCAATGGAACGCTTAACCTCAAGCAATATCGTTTCGATGATTCCTCTATACGCGAGCAACACAGTGAAGCTTCCATCTTACGGCGTAACATAATAACGATAAACACTTACTGTTAAGTAATTATCACCTTTAACACGGTATGAATGATAAATGTACAACCCGGCACAATTATGTAACAACCCTGCCTGGAGCACCTCTGGGGTTACTGACGGTTAGTGAGTCAGCTACAACGTAGGACCACGTACATATATGCATCGGTCCAAGTTGCCATACATCATTGTCACAACAAAGTGAACACCGAATTCATAGTAGTTAATTTAATGGTGGTAATACATAAAAGAAAGATTGCATATAAGGACATAGTAAAAGAAGGAAGAATTAGTTCGTAGAAACAAAGGCGAGACTCTAATTTATGGACGAGCCAATCAGAGGCGTTTGAAGGATTTCAAGGTTACAGCGCCAACTTCAGTGCTTAGTGCTAACGTACGATGGGTTCACAAGGAATTTTGTACAGAACGTGATAATTGAGCGGCTATAACAAATAAAACGACGAGACTATAATTTGTGGACGAATCAATCAGGTATAAGATAACAGATCTCGGATTTAGGCACGAGAGCCTTACATCCATTTGGCTAAATAGATTTCTGGCATTATAGCTCATGTCAGTTCGTGATGAAAACCCTATATATAATTCCTAACTAAGACAAATTACGACAATTATCGCGAACTAGATAATAAAAGTATCAGTAACACTGGCTGCGGTCAGGTACTACAATATATAAGGATGATTGGGGAAACTACAGACTCCTATATAGGCTTGGTTATTTACATCGTGTCGTTATCCACAAGTAGCATTTTGTGTACTCAACAACCGAAGTGCACATAAACAATATTGAAACTATGTGGTCGAGGCTGAAAGAGTTTTTGAGACTTTATCATGGATCCGGAGGCCAACTATTCTGTAGCCGTATGGATGATCTCCTCTACTGCATGCATTACGATTTTATAACCTCTTTCTAACCTTGACAGGTTTTTGAACCACGCATAAAGAGTGTATCCACTTTATTTCCTTGGTTTTGTATAACATATTTTTACTCTATACTGACTGTTTGCTGATTAGCTAATATTTCTCAAGATCGCTTAAGATTCGTTCAAAGGTCGTCCATAAACTAGTCTCGCCGAAACAAAAATATAAAACAATTTTAATCTCATAGTTTAAGGGAACACAAAGAGTGTATACACCTACGCCATTGTGATCGATTCTGAGTCATGTCACCAAGAGTCTCCAACCATTCGTTAGGATAGTCACTCGAGATATCATGAACAGGACACCATGGGGTTTTTTTCGACAGTGGCATGCCTGAAAAGATAGTCAACATCATACAAATTCCTATGATGGGTTAAAATGCATAACCGTGCATGGAGGACAGTTGACAGACTCGTTCGAAGTAAAGACCAGTGTCAGGCAAGGTTTCACAATCTCACCCTTTCTCCTGGTGATCGACTGGATTATGGAGGCGTCAACATCTCCACAGGGGAAGCACGAAATACAGTGGACAGCTAGACTTCGCAGATGATCTGGCGCTTCTATCGCACACGCAAGAACAAATGCAGGTTAAAACGACCAGTGTAGCAGCAGTAGGTCTCAATATACACAAAAGGAAAAGCAAGATTCTTCGATACACGACATGCACCAATCGAATCACACTTGACGGAGGTTTGGAGGATGTGAAAACCTTTACATATCTGGGCAGCATCATTGATGAACACGGTGGATCGGAAGGCGCGGATTAGTAAAGCAAGAGAAGCGTCTCTACAATTGAAGAACATCTGGAACTAAAAACAACTGTCAACCAACACCTTATTCAGAATTTTCAATACAAATGTCAAGACAGTTCTACTGTGTGGGGCGGAAACTTGGAGAACTATAAAAGCAATCATCCAGAAGATACAATTGTTTATTAACAGTCGTCTGCGCAAAATACTTCGGATCCATTGGCCAAACACTATCAGCAACAACCTACTGTGGGAGAGAGCAAACCAGATCCAAGAGAAGAAAGCATTGGAAGTGGATTGGACACACATTGAGGAAAGCACCCAACTACGTCACCAGACAAGCCCTCAC